AAGTTGCATTTTAGCACTCCTGTTTCCATCGTCCTGAAGTCAGTGGATTTTTGGTTTTTGGTTCAATGCCTGAAATAAGGTCTGTGGTGAACACAAGCTCAGTTTTCACGTTTTATTCTACATCATAAAGACCATCATTAATACACCCTTGTGATTTTTGAAACTTACTTGTCTTGAAAAAAACGGTTGATAGCGTCTAAATGGGACTACAGAGGCTGTCAGGGACATTAAACTTCATCACTCCGAACAGATAAACTCATCCACTCACTAGTCGCTTTATAGCCTGATTGTGTTTATAATCACGCTCTAACTGCAACTTTCAGGGAAAATGTTTTTAAATGTCAGAAGCCTAGTGATGGTGACACTGAAGTCACGTGACTGTAATGTAGTGTGTAACTCTTTTTACTGATTGTATTTTTGTCGGTCACAGACCTAGTTTTCTAAAATAAGCCAGTAGAAAAGTCCTATTGGGTTTTCGCTGAGGGAATCAGGGTGATGCAGCACTCTATTGCAATTCAGTTTCAGCAGGGATATCCGGCCTGATGCAGAAACAGAGACCAAACAATTAACAACATTTAGTATTGGATTTACATGAAGTATGGAAGCCGTTTCTGCCACGGTATAAAAAAGGTAATTGTGACTTTTTATCTCACAATTCAGAGTTTTTTCCCCTTCTTGGAAGTCAGAATTGTGAGACAAAAAAAAAAAAGTTTTTTTATGTTTTATACGTAAAAACTGAATTGTGAGATTCTGACTTTTTTCATAAACCTATAATTCTGACATTTAAACTTGCAATTTTAAAGAAAAAAAAGTCAAATTGTGAAATAAAAATCTGCAATTACCTTTTTTTTTTAAACAAACAAAAAACTGAATTGCGACATGTAAACTCAGAATTCTAAGTTTACACCTTGCAGTTCTTTTTTTGTTGTTGTTAAAAAATGTACTTGTGACTTATCTTATAATTCTGACTTTTTTTAAATCTCACAATTTAGACTTTTTTTTTTTAATCGTGACATACAAACTCAAAATTGTGATATAAACTTGCAATTCTGAAAGAAAAATCTGAATTGTGAGATAAAAAGTCGCAATTAAAAGACAAAAAAAAAACAGCATTGTGAGATGTAAATAAAAAATTCAGAGATAAGTCATAATTGTAAGATGTAAACTCTGAATTGGAGAAAAAAAAACCTCAGAATTTTTATTTCAGAATTGCATCTCACAATTTAGACTTTTTTTTTTTAATCGTGACATACAAACTCAAAATTGTGATATAAACTTGCAATTCTGAAAGAAAAATCTGAATTGTGAGATAAAAAGTCGCAATTAAAAGACAAAAAAAAAAACAGAATTGTGAGATGTAAATAAAAAATTCAGAGAGAAGTCATAATTGTAAGATGTAAACTCTGAATTGGAGAAAAAAAAAACTCAGAATTTTTATTTCAGAATTGCAAGTTGCAATTCTGTGTTTATATCTTTTAATCATGACTTTTATTCTCAGAATTGCAAGAAATGACCTTATGAAAAAGCTTTCATATGGTAAAGATCACTTTTATTGCTTGTTGCTTTGTTCTTTTGGTGACTGGTTAGGACACAAAATGCATAAATCAAGTGTAACAGGGATGCAGTGTTTCATGACCCTGATTCATATTCAGAGTTCTAAGCTTCATTTTTATTATGTAAAGCATAAAACCGGCCTCCTGTTCAATGCACACTAAAGCTGACGGGAAACATCGCATGGACAAAACTTAAGCATCTAGACATGAAGGTTCACGCTGTTACTCACTAAAATAGTCAGAGATGTGCTGAAACAGGCTCCCCGGAGGCTTGCGTCTGCCCCAGATGTCTGAATGTCTGATCTAACGCTCACGTCCTCCACGGGAACCTCGTTTTCTCCATCAGCTGCGATTTTGCAGGCGATCTCGAGATGTTTTACCTCTGCTGAGAGTAATTAATGCCAATGTTTCTCTCCAGGATCCACTTGTGCCGGTGGGGGCGGACCGCTGCGCTGTTGCCATGGAGATGGAGGACAGCTTTGTGCAGAACCTGAAGCATGCTGCAGGTGTCATCTCAAAGGTGACCTCCTGCCCGTTACTGCATTATAACGCTGCCGCTGTAGAAGCCCAGGCTTTAGTTCAGAGCTCTCAGAAGTCTCTCAGTGGCAGACCCTCCATCCTACTTAAATCTACACTATTCTGATACAACTGGCTAATTCATTGTACACATTCAAATAACTATTCATGGCAGTCATACAATCTTGTAATAGTTCGAAAAAGTAAAGCCTAATAAATATGAATAAATCTCTTAAAGACTGCTGATTTGATCAGCAATCGCTAATAATTCATTCATTTATAAGTAAATTAATTTATGCTCATTCATGCAACAAATTATATATATATATATATATTTATATATATATATATAATGCTGTTCTTATGAACTTTCTATTCATCAAGGAATCCTGAAAATAATGTTTCCACAAAATTATGAAGCAGCACGACCGTTTTCAACATTTAGTTTTGTGCATGCAAACTAAACAAACTAAAATATATTACATTCATTTCATTTAAATAGTCATTTTTGGCCGCCACACAAGCAGCACCAGAGGGCTTGTAACCACATTACAGTCCACTAAAAAAACACCTCAGAGACCACACAGTCAAAGCACTCATGTTTTCTGTACGAATCTAGTTATCTGCTCTTTCAACCTGTTGTGTTCTGCGTTTTACCTTCATTTCTGTTGTGTTTGCAGCGGTGAGAAATGAGCATCACGTGAAGTCATTTGCACTCATCTCATTACGGAGCGGCTGCACTGCACATGCTGTGCTTTCCGGGATAATAAAATCACTTTCAGCGCTCTTTGATTCTGGTGCTGAATAAATGATATGAGGGGAGTTTGTGGAGGCCGGCGGTGCATTAGGCAGCTGCTGTGTTTCAGTGGGTTTGTGAACGACTCTCTGTCTCCTGCTCAGATAAATCTCTTAAAGACTGCTGATTTGATCAGCAATCGCTAATAATTCATTCATTTATAAGTAAATTAATTTATGCTCATTCATGCAACATTCTTCTAATTTTCATTTATTTCTGTTTACAGTCCATTTGTTTCCACAGACACAATATTTTTCTTTTATTTGTTTACTTATTTTTTGGTTATGATTTTTTCCTCCAGGAATACTGTACTAAAAAATAGACTAAAATGCATATGTACACAACATAAACATAGTGACATGCACTTTTTAGAATAAAGTAAAAAAAAAAAAATTATATATATATATATAGGGTTTGTGAACGGCTCTCTGTCTCCTGCTCAGCGCCGTCTGACGAACATAAAACCCACAGCCAAGACGATCAACCGCAGCCTACAACAACACAGATTACACAACATCACTGCTCTGTCTCTCTGCTCTTGTAGGACATCTTCCACTGGCAGATCCTGGATGGCAACTTAACTCAGAATATACACAAATACTTACCAATGACAGGTAAATGTGGGAGTCTTAAACAGGGTTATTATAGTTAACTGATACTGAAACTAAACTAAAAAAGAATTGTTACTTGAAATAAACATTAACTGAAAAAAATTATATATTATATAAATTATATAGAATATTATACATTATATAAAAATTATATATATATAAAAAAATATATACATATATATATATATATAAAAAAATATATATGCATATATATATATATATATATATATATATATATAACAAAAACTTCTAAAAAGGACTACAAAATTACTACTTTAGCTAAAATTAAAATAAATACAATTATAAAAAATAACATTCAAAATATTAATAAAAACTATAATAGTATCTCAATGCTAAAATAGCACTGCTCTTAAAGTCAGTATGATTAGAATTTACTTTTTTAATACATGTTCCTGGTTTTATTGTGAGTGATTCATCAATGCATATATATATTTTTTGATTTACAGCTATGATTTTTGTTAATATTTTGAATTACATTTTAGATTTTATTTTGGTTAAAGTTTTAGTAATTTTGTCATTTTTATTATTATAATTTTTAAACATGTCTATATAGTTTTATTGTGTTTTAGTTTCTAACTTCATTTAATTTTAGCTATCGTAGTACTTCAACTTAAACTAAAAATAAGAAATGTTGACTTGGCAACTAGCTGAAATAAAATACTACATTTTTAAAAATATATATTTTCAGTTCATATTTGTTTCATTTCAGGTAATAATTTGTGGTTTCGGTGGTTTTTGTTTGAGTTAATGATAACAGCCCTGCTCTACATTGGGCCAGAAGCATCCATGCGCTGCATAAGAAAATCTGTCTATGGACTCACGGCTTTAGCGCGGTCACAGGTCACATCCAGATCGCCCCGAGCCGGACAGTGACGGAGAGCTGAGCTTCTGTCTCTTTAGGCTGCTGGAGGAGCTGGACTATCAGGACTTCATCGGCTGTGAAAACAAACCTCAGCGCGAGTCACTCGCTGCACATTTTTAACATTTGAATACTCACCATTGCTTTTATTAGCACACATTCATGAGGATATACGTTGGCAAGTCCACTGCTCGCGACCAATGAAATTTTAAGATGAAAATTGAAATACTGTTGCACAAAAAGAGTATAGATAAAGAGTCTAAATCTCATTTGAGATGCTTCATTTCCAGACTGCAGCCAGTGTGATAGTTCAGCAACTCTTAGATTGCAATGAGTATAGAGTGAAATTTCATTCTTGATAGTTCATATTTGTAAATATGATTGTCCAGGTTCCACAGAAGCGGGTCTGGACTGGCTCAGAAGATACTGGAGATAACTTTTTTTTCTAAAAAGCATTCTTGTATTAAAATGACAAGAATGTAATTTTCTAAAGCTTAAATCGACTCCCATTTTCAGTTGTTTTATTAACATTTGACTCGTCAGTAGCTATGAAATATGATTTTTTCCCCATCTTTCAAGGCATTGCACATGAAGAACACTTCAGATGTTTTAATTTAAGATTTATTGTTAAGCGTTTTTCTTACAAATCCGCCTCTATATACATAATGTACAAATGACCTTTTCACACATTTGAGTTGCTAATTAATGTTCTAACATTTTAATAAATCTTTCTTTCAAAAATGTCCAGTGTGCTCCGAGAAAACCAAACAGTAAAACAATTTCATTCTTCAGTGTCTGTCATTACAGGAGGTAAATCATCCCCCTTCATGTGAAATGAGTGTCAAAGGTTTTCCAGTGTCGTTTCAGCGCTGTGCTAGTTAGTAAGACTAATTGTTGCCCGCTCTTTATGTTGAAGGTATGTGAAGGCCATGCGACTAATTTAAAGGGACAGTTCCCGCACAAATGAAATTCTGTCATCATTTACTCACCCTCACGTTGTTCCAAACCCATATGAGTTTCTTTTAACTGTTAAACACAAAAGAAGATGTTTTGAAGAATGTTGGTCACCAAACAGTTGCCGGTAGCCATTGACTTCAATAGTATTTTTTTCTCCATACTATGGAAGTCAATGGCTACCATCAACTGTTTGGTTACCAACATTCTTCAAAACATCTTCTTTTGTGCTCAACAGAAGAAAGAAACTCAGGTTTGTTATGACACGAGGGTGAGTAAATGATAACAGAATTACATTTTTGCGGGAACTGTCCCTTTAAGTGATTCTTTTTGAAAGGTGAACATAATACACGAGCTCCCATCAATTTCATATGAAAATAAAATAAAGGCACTTTTGGGATGAAAAAACGTCAGTAAAGACAATCATGTTGCACAAAGTGATACATTATGGTGCAAAAAAAAATCTTTTGCATACGGGCTACAGAAACAACATCAGCAACTGAGAGGAGATGGAGGAACAAAACAGCACAAATGAACACTAGACTACAGAAGGACAGCATGGCTTTGGCAAACCAGCGGAGTCTCACACGCAGTAAATACACCCTCCCAGATAATCACCCTCCATCAACAGGGCGGCACATTTAGCTGTTTTCCTGTGCTAAATATTGGCAATTTAATTCCTTAACTGGATGCAACCTGGTCGACACAGCATGCATTACACACGCGAGACACATTCAGCCTCAGTCTAAGAGCGACAGGCAGCTCAAAGCTCAATCTTTGTCAGACACTTGACTCCGTCTGATGCACCGCTGGCAGAAACACAGGTTCACAGCAGGCCCGTCCAGAGGTTGTAGCAGGCGGTGTTGATGACCGACTCCAGATGGTGGTACATGGAGACCAGCTGCGGTGGAGGACTGCTGCTTTTTGCGATTTATCAAAGATTTTTAACTGTTTTACACAAAATTGTCTCCCTTACAGCTATATATATATATATATATATATATATATACACACATACACACAGTATATATATATATATAAAGTGTTTGCAGCTTAAAGTTTGCAGGTTATTTGTAGGAACATTTTGGCACAATGAGATATCATAATAAAATTCAATAATTCATAGTTCAAATAAAAGACACCTTCACATCCCAGTTCTCATGGTAATGCAAAAAAACTAAATTCTCATTACTGTAATGACATAAAAAGATAAAAAATAAAATTATTAATTACAAGAAACAAAATAATAAATATTGTTATTTAGTATAATTTATGCATCATGATTTTCTGCTTTTAAATTATTGAAAAATTATTTAATATAAAAAATTATATTACAATACTCCTTTATTTTAATACAGTGAAGATTTACTGCATCACAAAAATGAGAATCACCCTTAAGAATAATAATAATTACAAAACAACAACAACAACAAAAAATAATTATGGTAATGAGAACTAGGAGAAAAATGCTTAGTGTAATGTATAGTACAGTATAATGTAACAATACAATAACATACAATATAAGTTTTATAACTGAAATGTAGTGTTTAAATTATTAAATTGGTCAATATCTGTTTAATGATCAGAAGACAATTCTTAAAATAAAACTATTTATCTAAATAAAATAAAATAAAATAAAATTAACTCACAGTTTTTCCTGCCTGTGTGTCCAGGAAAACGAGCACAAAACAGTCAGTGAACTTCTGGTTCAGGACGGCCTGGAAAAGAGAGAGAGTTTATGCCAAACAACACGCTATTTAAACACTCAACACCTCGACGCCAGATGTTTCTTTTTATTTTTTAATTTAACCCTGATCTTCACAATCCATTTCACACGGATTGGTGCTCAGCATTAGGAAACACAGCGTCAACCTCAGGGAAACAAAGGCAGGTGTTGTTTGTGTGAATATGGAGGATGAAATGATCATCAGTTCAGGAAATCTGCATAAGCCCACGACATCTCCAATTACAGAATGAAGTATGAAGTGGCCTTCAAACACACTTGAGGATCTGACGATTATCATCGGGAGGATTCGCTCACATTAACTAGTACACAGGCACGGAGGTCTCATAATGTACCACGCTTTCGGGCCTCAAGTAACCAAGTTCAAGGTCTTTCCAGGAGAATAATGATTCAAGAGCGCTTTGCCATCAGCGCTTCCCGTCTCGTAATGCACTATGATGGGACTAACATCTCACACGGCCCACGACACGACTGTACGGCCTGATGATCTGCTTCATGTGCAATATGTGAGAATATGAGCTTACAAAAGTGTTGCTCGTCCCTGCAAATCTTGTTTTTCTGTTCATCAGAGAATCCTGAAAAAATGCGTCACGGCACAACTGTTTTGAACATTGATAATAATCAGAAATGTTTCTTGAGCAGCAAATCAGCATATTAGAATGATTTCTGAAGATCATGTGACACTGAAGACTGGAGTAATGATGCTGAAAATTCAGCTTTGATCACAGGAATAAATTACACTTTACAATATATTCACATAGATAACTGTTATTTTAAATTGTAATAATATTTCACAGTTTTACAGATTTTTTTTTTGTATTTTTGCTCAAATAAACGCAGCGTTGGTGAGCAGAAGAGATCTCTTACCAGGTACTGTATGCCGCAGTCGTCTTTAAAGTGCCTGCAGTTCTGTGGGAAGCGGGACAGCAGGACTTTGATGAGACTCTGGTACCAGGCGGGACTCATATTCAGGAAACAGTCCTAAAAAACACAATTACAAAAACTCATACGGGTTTGCAATGACATCAATGACGATAGAATTTTAATTTTGCATCAAGATTATTCAATTTTTTTTTCTTAAACTAGGAAACAGTTATTATAAATTGTTATTGTATTTTTGATCAAGTAAATGCAGCCTTAGTGAGCAGAAGAGACTTCTTTCAAAAACATGAAACAATCTTACCAACCAAAAACCTCGTACAGGTTTGCAATGAAACGAGCGACAGAATTTTCATTTTGCACTTTTATAATGATTATTCCGTTTTGTTTTGTTTTTTGCATAGATTTAGTTTATTACACCATATCAGCATCAAAGGCTACAATAATAATACGATTTAAAATAGTTAGTAGACAGTAATTTAACAATTTTATTTTTTACAAACAAATAAAATAAAAAATGAATAAAAACTAACAATTATATACAATCTTTCACACTGATATTTGATTAAAATGTAAATATTTTTCCAGGACAAACTTTGTCCATTAATGCACTTTCTAAGTAAATATGTCCAATAAAATATACTTTACACACATACATTATTTATGCATATATGGTGTGTGTGTGTGTGTGCTGAATAATAAGTGAATAATACTGTCAAAAGCGTAAAATTCTAATTATATGCATAAATATGCACGTAAGTTACCGTACTATTATGTGGATAGTTATGCATAACAAAATTGATATGTACATTTTAAGTTTGAATAAAAGTTGAAAAAGATTATTCAATGTTTAAAAAGACTTTGAGCTCCTGAAATACTGGAGCAGAATATTTCTCTTTAAATTAGCCCGGCCTGTGCACACAAAGCATTATTATTTTTCAGATCAGATTTCATCGGACGCTTCAAGTCAGCGAAACCACAGGAAGGCAGTTTTCACAGTCTGGCTGCGGCAGTAAATTTGTAAAAAGATGTAATTTGCTGCAAGTTTCTCCTGGTTTGATATCACAGCAGGAGTACATCTCCACTTCCTTTGTGAGCGTGTGCGGCTCTGACAGTGCTGTACATCATCCCAGCGCTCAGATTAGCAGTTGTAGCACACGAGCGGCCCGCTCGCTAACATTGACTAAGCGATTCTGCTCGTGTGAAGGGAATACAGAAGCGTGCGGCACATGAATAGATGAGGAATCAAACGCATTGATATGCAGGTTTGGAGAGACGGGAGTCCGTGGGGGAATCTGAGGCTATGGCACATGAACGGGAGCATGTTTGCCAGCCGTGATCCCGCAGCACATCATTCACAGCCCGCGTCATGTATGACGCCTATTGAGAACCTACTGAATACTGAAACCGGATGATTTCTTGTGATTTTCAGTTCTGCAAAACTGTAATAAAGTACTGCATGATGGATCAGCCAATAGGGGCAACCGACCACCACCTCATTATCATATCGGAAATACACCGTAAATAAATGCATAAATACAGATATAAATGATCCTTAGAATAAATAAATTCAATAAATTATTATTATTAATGAATACATTAGTAAATTAATAAATAAATAAATTTATGACTGATATATATAATACAATTTTAATACAATTTATCCACTGGATCATCTATTTATGTATGTATTACTTATTCTGTGCCATACACATTTATTTACAACACCTTTTTAAAAGTTTGGAGGCAATTTGGGATTTTTTGTTGTTGTTGTTGAAAAAAATTAACACTTTTATGCTTTTAGCATGCATTTAATTGATCAAAAGTGCCAGTAAAGACATTTATAATGTTAGAAAAGGTTTCTATTTCAAATAAATGCTGCTCTTTTGGACTTTCTATTCATCAAAGAATCCTGAAAAATTAAATATATCACCGTTTCCACAAAAATATGAAACAGCTCCGCTGTTTTCAACATTGATAATAATAGAAATGTTTCTTAAGCAGCAAATCAGCATATTAGAATGACTTCTGAAGATCATGTGACACTGAACACTGGAGTAATGATGCTGAAAATTCAGCTTTGATCACTGAAATAAATTACATTTTAACATATATTCACATAGAAAATAGTTATTTTAAACTGTAATAATATTTCACATTTTTACTGTATTTTTGATCAAATAAATGCAGCCTTGGCAAGCAGAAGAGACATTAAAAACATTAAAAAACCTTACTGATCCCTACTTGCTAAGGACCATTTAGATTTGTGACATTTTCATGACAAATAATCAGATTTTACACTGTAATACCTTACTGATCCTGTTTCACTCATACTCAGTTATTAATGAGCTATTTTATGATTCAGTTTTGGTCCTCTGTATAACAAATCCTCCGTCTGAAGCTACATACATCTGTGCTGTATCAAACACAGTGATGTTTGTTGGCATGAGCGGCACATTTAGAGTAACTACTGTTGTGTAATCAAATCACGAACGAGCACCCTGTTGGCGAAGGATGCGGCGTGTGAATCTGTGCACGTGTTGGTCCAGGAGGGATAATTTATGCCGTAAATAAGGAACGGAGTGTAATATTAAAGGGCTGATTTCCTGTGCTAATTAGCTGATGTTTATCGCGGTGTGCTGATGAGTAGGCCGCGTGTTTTCCCTACGGAGCGCTGCATTAGCATGTTTGTTGTCAGCCACCCATCAAACAAACTGCACCGAGCCAGCCGCTGATCAAACCGTCCTCAATAAACTGCAGAACAAAGGAAAAAACATGCCATTTTCCCACGCTTTCTCAAAGACTGCTGTCAGTGTGTACAGGAAAACAGAGTGCTGCACTTTCCATGAACAGGACGTCCTATTGCTCTTTAAAGCTCCAATTTTATTCATTTATTTTATTTGATATTTTTTAAATTCTGAGAACTATTTTGTTAGGATTGAGCATAAAATTAACATGCTACTTTTAAAACATCATATTGTTTAATTAATATTATACAATAGTAGTAAACAATTATTATAGTGTTTACTGCATTTGTCAACAATTCAAACTTTTTACCAAAGTTATTTTAAAAACCAAATCAAACAGATACTTTTATTTAGATTTGGGCCCAAGAGTTGGGCCCAAATGTGTACAGGAAAACAGAGTGCTGCACTTTCCATGAACAGGACGTCCTATTGCTCTTTAAAGCTCCAATTTTATTCATTTATTTTATTTGATATTTTTTAAATTCTGAGAACTATTTTGTTAGGATTGAGCATAAAATTAACATGCAAAGTACTTTTAAAACATCATATTGTTTAATTAATATTATACAATAGTAGTAAACAATTATTATAGTGTTTACTGCATTTGTCAACGTCCTATTGCTCTTTAAAGCTACCTATCTAATTTAGGGTAAATCTGCAACCTAAATCTATCAAAAATGTATTTATTATTTATTGCTAAATTAAATTAAATTAAATTAAATTAAATTAAATTAAATGATCACACAGACAAGGATCAGGGCTTAATTTAATTGATTATTGAAATTGATTATTTAATTGATTATTATTACTTTAATTTATAAATAATTGTTTTTATTTAATTATATTTATTAATCACACAAAGAGGGATCAATTGGGAAAAATATTAACTTTGTTTATTTGAACTTTATATTTAACGAGCACCCTGTTGGCGAAGGATGCGGCGTGTGAATCTGTGCACGTGTTGGTCCAGGAGGGATAATTTATGCCGTAAATAAGGAACGGAGTGTAATATTAAAGGGCTGATTTCCTGTGCTAATTAGCTGATGTTTATCGCGGTGTGCTGATGAGTAGGCCGCGTGTTTTCCCTACGGAGCGCTGCATTAGCATGTTTGTTGTCAGCCACCCATCAAACAAACTGCACCGAGCCAGCCGCTGATCAAACCGTCCTCAATAAACTGCAGAACAAAGGAAAAAACATGCCATTTTCCCACGCTTTCTCAAAGACTGCTGTCAGTGTGTACAGGAAAACAGAGTGCTGCACTTTCCATGAACAGGACGTCCTATTGCTCTTTAAAGCTACCTATCTAATTTAGGGTAAATCTGCAACCTAAATCTATCAAAAATGTATTTATTATTTATTGCTAAATTAAATTAAATTAAATGATCACACAGACAAGGATCAGGGCTTAATTTAATTGATTATTGAAATTGATTATTTAATTGATTATTATTACTTTAATTGATAAATACTTTTTTTTATTTAATTATATTTATTAATCACACAAAGAGGGATCAATTGGGAAAAATATTAACTTTGTTTATTTGAACTTTATATTTAACTTGATTAATATTTTTAATTAACATTAAATACTGTATAAAAATGTATAAATAAAAAATTTAATATTTTCCATAATACATAATTTAATAAGATCTATAACATTATTTTTCTTATTATTTTTTTAAATAATAATAATAATTATTATTATTATTATTATTTTTATAATTATTATTAATAATAGTAATATTTATAATATTATTAATTTATTTTAAATTAAATTAAATTAAATTTAGTGTTTTCAAGTATTTGTTGAAAAAGAAAAGAAAAAAAAAACCTATTAAGACCCTATTTTGTACCTATTTGTGGAAAGTGCCTGCTAGAGAACAAAGAGAAAGGAATATAAAATGTTAGATGAATGGGTGTGAAAGATGGTCTCAGAGGTGAAGGGCAGAGGATTGTTTCATACCAGCTGTGGGTCAATCTCAGCGACCGATCTGCTCTGCACAGCGTCCAGCAGCTCCTCTAGTTCACCGAAGGTCAGCTTGCTGAGCTTGAGTTTATCCAGAGCCAAGTGCTCTCCGTGAAAGAGCCTCCTCCAGAGGTTATCCCTGCGGCAGTGACCCATGGCCTGCTCCACGCTGCTCTGAATCTGCCGGCGCGCAGACAGCACCTCTGAACTGAGCAGGGGGAAGAGAGGACACAGGTAGAAGAGCCCCTGAGAGTCGTCTGCGTCTGCGAAGCCGGCCTGTCCCGCGTGCAGGAGGCTCTCTATGGGGTCAGATTCAGGGCTGGCTGGAGGGGTGACGGGGGCGGTGGTGTCCTCCCACAGGTCCAGTTCAGATTCCCGCTCCCCCGGGCTGCCAGCCTCCATCTGCTCCACAGGGATGCGGCTGCTGAGGTCACCGGGGTCACGGTGGATCTGAGGAAGCTTCTTAAAGCGCCGCATGTCTGCAGTCAAACGCGGGAACAGCTCCCTCTGACTGGTCATGATCACATAGAAACGCAGCCTGAAACCAGTACAAACAGAAAAAT